AAAAAAAAAAAAAAAAAAAAAAAAAAGAATTTATAATTTTCTATATTTTCTATAATGAAGATTATTGCTTCTAAAAGGAAAAAGTTTTTTATTGTGGCAAAATATACATAACATAAAATTCCCTATTGTAACCATTTTTAAGTGAACAATCCAGTGGCATGAAGTACATTCATAATGTTGTGTGGACATTACCACTGTCTATATCTAGAAGTTTTTTGTCATCCCAAACTGAAACCCTGTACCCATTAAGCAGTAACTCCCCATTCCTCCCTGTCTCAGCCCCTAGTAATCTGTATTTTGTTTTCTGTCTCTGAATTTGCCTATTCTAGGTAGCTCCTAGCAACAGAATCACACAATATATTTCCTTTGGAGTCTGGCATATTTCACTTCGCATAATGTTTTCAAGGTTCATCTGTTTCATAGCATGTATCAGAATTTCATTCCCTTTTGTGGCTGAATACCATTTCATTGCATGGATGTACAGGTTGAACATCCCTAAACCAAAAATCCAAAATTCAAAACGCTTCAAAATCTGAAATGTTTTGAGTGCCAGCATGATGCCACAAGTGGAAAATTCCACACCTGACACCTTTGCTTTCTGATAGATAGTTTAGTATCCTCAAACTTTGTTTCATGCACAAAATTACTAAAATGTGGTATAAAGTGATCTTCAGGCTATGTGTATAAGTTGTGTATATGAAACACAAATAAACTTCATGTTTAGACTTCGTTTTTTTTTTTTTTTTTTTTTTTTGAAACGAAGTTTTACTCTTGTTGCCCAGGCTGGAGTGCAATGGCTCAATCTTGGCTCACTGCAACCTCAGCCTCCCGGGTTCAAATGATTCTCCTGCCTCAGCCTCTCGAGTAACTGGGATTTCAGGCATGTGCCACCATGCCCAGCTAATTATGTATTTTTAGTAGAGACAGGGTTTCTCCATGTTGGTCAGGCTGGTCTCGAACTCCTGACCTCAGATGATACGCCCACCTCAGCCTCTCAAAGTGCTGAGATAAGGCATGAGCTACCGCCCCCGGCACTTCATGTTCAGACTTAGGTCCTGTCCACATGATTTGTCATTCTGTACATGCAAATATTCCAAAATTGGAAACAATCCAAAATCCAAAACACTTCTGATCCCAAGCATTTTAGATAAGGGATACTAAACTTGTACCATATTTTGTTTATTCATTCATTTGTTGATGGATGCTTGGGTTGTTTCTACCTTTTGGCTATTGTGAGTAGGGTACAAGAATGTGTTTGAGTTCCTGCCTCTTCAGTTCTTTGGGGTATATACCTAAGAGTGGAATTGCTCGATCATATGGTAATTCTATGTATAACTTTTTTTTGGAGACAGAGTCTTACTTTGTCGCCCAGGCTAGAGTACAGTGGCACCATCTTGGATCACTGCAACCTCTGCCTCCCAGGTTCAAGCAGTTCTCCTGCCTCAGCCTCCCCAGTGGCTGGGATTACAGGCACACACCACCACGCCTGGCTAGTTTTTGTATTTTTAGTAGAGACGAGGTTTCACCATGTTGGCCAGGCTGGTCTCAAACTCCTGACCTCATGTGATCCGCCCACCTTGACCTCCCAAAATGTTTTCTCCCTATTCTGTGGGTTATCTTTTTTACTCTCTTCATAGTATCCTTTGATGCACAGAAGCTTTTAATTTTGATGTATTGTTTTTACTTTTGTTTGTGTTTTTGTGTCATAAGCAAGAAATCACTGCCAAGTCTAATGTCATGAAGCTTTTCCCCGTGTTTTCTTCTAAGAATATTTGTGGCACTAGCCCTTAAATTAAGTCTTTGATCCATTTTGAGTTAATTTTTCATATGGTATGAAATAAGGGTCCGATGTCATTGTTATATATGTGTATATTCTGTTTTCTCCATTGAATGGTCTTGGCAACCTTGTCAAAAATCAGTTGGTTTATGGGAGGCTTTATTTCCAGCTTTCCATTCTGCTCCATTGGCATATGTGCCTGTCTTTATGCCAGTACTACACTGTGTTGAATACTGTAGCTTCGTAGTAAGTTTTGAAATCAGGAAGTGTGAGTCCTCCAACCTTGCTCTTTTTAAAGATCATTTAGGCCATTTGGGAAAAACTTTAATTTTAAAAAATTACCACTTGTAACATCTATGTGAAATTTCTGCCTTCTGAAAATATTAATTCTTCTCATAATTTTCTGGGACTCAGTATTTTCTGCTGTTCACTAAAGTGTGTATTTATGCTCTTAATTACAGAAAGAGTATTCAAATGAAAATGCAGTTGTGAAGAGAATGCAGTCTCTTCAACTTGATTGTGTGGCATTACCTCCTAGCAGGTCAAATTCAGGTAAATTACACTACGGTTAAAACCTATTTATGCCGAGCGCGGTGGCTCAAGCCTGTAATCTCAGCACTTTGGGAGGCTGAGGCGGGTGGATCACGAGGTCAAGAGATTGAGACCATCCTGGTCAACATGGTGAAACCCCGTCTCTACTAAAACTACAAAAAATTAGCTGGGCATGGTGGTGCGTGCCTGTAATCCCAGCTACTCAGGAGGCTGAGACAGGAGAATTGCCTGAAGCCAGGAGGCAGAGGTTGTGGTGAGCCGAGATCACGCCATTGCACTCCAGCCTGGGTAACATGAGTGAAACTCCGTCTCAAAAAAAAAATTAATTAATTAAAAACCCATTTATTTATTTGTTTGCTTATTCATTCACTCCACTCTCTAAAATACTATTCAAGACCATAAGGGAAACAGAAGAAACTATAAAAGTGAACACCTGTCTTAAAGGAATTTATAACAATATTCGAGAGTCTTAAGTTACATATATTTGAAATATGAAGTAACAGTGGGCTCAGCAGAGTCATAGAGTGTTCTGAACAAAAGAGGCTTAATATATCTGTTGGGGAGAAGTGATGGTTCGGGGAGAAGGAAGGGGACGTACATGAGAACAAAGTCCCTAGGGAGGTTGGAGTGACTTAGAGCCAGAACACAAGCAGAGAGGCTGGCCTCAGGTCAAGTAGGGATACTTTTTTCACTGTAACAGAAGGGATGCCAGAGTATAGGTACTGAAGCTGCGTAGTTATCTGATCTGTGGCTAATTACTTAACCTCTTCTGAACTTTACCCATCAAATCATAATAATTGCTCCTCCTCTCATAGGGCTCTTCAAGAATGAAAATTCATGGGAAGTACTTAGGACAGAGCTGCTGTAGATCTTTCGTTCTTTCTTTCTTTCTTTTTGATTTAGAGTCTCACTGTCACCCAGGCTGGAGCGCAGTAGCATGATCTTGGCTCACTACAACCTCTGCCTTTCAGGTTCAAGTGATTCTCCTGCCTCAGCCTCCCAAGATCTGGGATTACAGCTGTGCACCACCATGCCCAGCTAATTTTTGTGTTTTCAGTAGAGACAGGGTTTGACCATGTTGGCCAGGCTGGTCTTGAAGTCCCAACCTCAGGTGATCCACCCGCCTCAGCCTCCCAAAGGGCTGGGATTACAGGCCTCAGCCACCGCACCTGGCCACAGATCTTATTTTCCACCTGAATTGCTCTGAAGAGACAACTACCTGCTCTGTTCTAAGCCAAGTCCCTTTTTTCCTTGGTCATCCCTGCAACAGCCGCTTTTCTCTTGCTTGTTATAATTTTCCTAGTTCTCTCTTGCTGCCAGTGAGGAGCTCCTATTATTATTTGTAAAGCTGCGGGCAAAGGACCATCTCCTAAATGCTTTGGACTGGTCTCTTACCTGTTTTCTCTGTGTTACTCTGAGGTACAGATTCACAATGGCACTCAGATTTTATTTTACTTTTTAATGTTTCATGAAACCCATTCTAATGTTGATTACTTCTTCTCAGCCACAGAGCAGCCTGGTTCTCTGCACAGTTCCCAGGGATTTGGGATCGGTCCTGTGGAGGAGTCCTGGTTTGCTCCCTCCCTGGAGCACCAGCAGGAAGAGAATGTGCCCAGCCTGCAGAATAAACTCCAGGAGGAAACCAACTACCATCTCTATGGCAGCCGCATGGACAGGCAGACGAAACAGCAGCCCAGACAGAATGTGGCTTACAACAGAGAGGAGGAGAGGAAACGAAGGGTCTCCCATGACCCTTTTGCACATCAAAGACCTCGTGAAAATTTTCAGAATACAGAGGGAAAAGGCATTGCTTATTCTGGTGCAACCAGTCATGGTAATGCAGTGTACCGGCCCTCAGGGCTCACTAGCCAACTTCAAGTACCATATCAGAACAGTGGATCATACGGCTTACGTGGCTTTGGAGCAAGACCACTGGATCAAGGAACAGCAGGTCCCAGAGTTTGGTATGGGCCAATTCCAAGTCATCCGCCTAGTCTGTATAAAAGCCCAGTGCCTGAGACCAACTTTCTAGGAAACACACCCACCATGCCCTTCAGCTCCTTGCCACTACCAGGTAAATGGGTCTTTGATAGTCACAGTCTTGTCTTTTTTTAAATTTTTCTGAAAATAAAGCAACAAGCAGCCCTGTTGTAGATTGTGGGTTATGATGGGGACAGAGAGCATCGTCAGCTGCCAGACACAACTTGCCACTGTGGAATGGTCTCCGCCAGACCACTTGGTCTGGGAATATTTCATATAGGGCTAGGATTCATCACAGATGCCCATAAGCATTAGGTTACAGGTCCTTGGGACTGGTAGGCATCTTGCTCTAACCTGGATTGCATAGTAGTCCTGTTTTACCCAATCTCTGATAAACGGGAAGATATATGCTTATTTGCTTTTACCTTGCTTGCTGGTTTGAAGGTAAGAAATAAGTCTTTGATATTTTTATTTCTTACCTTACATAGGCCAAAGACTACCATTAGTGATGAAAAATTTTCTTTTAACTCCCATATCTCTATGAGGTGAAGTAAAAGGTAGGTGATAGTAGTTATTGGCAGTCTAGAATGGAAGTGATGTAATGTAATATCCAGCATTTTTATCAAATAATACTCACCAACATCACCTTAACTACCTGAACGGCATCTACCAATAATACCCATGTGTGTTCTAGAGATCTTTAAATCAACTCAGGTAGAGGAAGCTTTGAGAACCACAGAGCTTAGTTACATTTTCTTTCAAAAGGCCAAATTCTCCAAAAACATCCTATGCAAACATCCTTGATTTTTCCCAAAGGTTTTATTATAAGATCTGTAGAATGCAAAATATTGGATTAGACATTAAGCAGCATCTAAGTCATGTATAATCATATGAGCAAATGTCCTTTTGTTTCCTTCATGTCTGGGGATAAAGTTTTTCATTAGTATTGCTATATCATTTTATTCATTCCTGATTAAGTCAATGGAAATTTCGGCTGGGGCCGTGGTTGGCCAGGCATGGTGGCTCATGCCTGTAATCCCAGCACTTTGGGAGGCCGAGATGGGTGGATCACTTAAGGCCAGGAGTTCGAGACCAGCCTGGCCAACATGGTGAAACCCCACCTCTACTAAGTAATACAAAAATTAGCTGGGCATGGTGGCGTGCACCTTTAGCCCCAGCTACTAAAGAGGCTGAGGCAGGAGAATCACTTGAACCTTGGAGACAGAGGTTGCAGTGAGCCAAGATCATGCCACTGTACTCCAGCCTGGGCAATGGAGTGAGATTGTGTCTCAGGAAAAAAAAAATCCAAAGCAATTCCCACTTTGTGCAATGCAGTTCTCCAGGCACTGGCACTACAACAGTCAACAGCCAGCCTGGGTCCTTTCCCTCAAACAGTTTAAATCCTAGGGACAAAGGGCAAACCCTAAACCAATATTTAATATGTCATTTTTTTATCTTGTTTCTACATGAGCAACGCAAATACACTAGTTTTGTGTCAGAAATACCCTTCTGTTTTCCCTCTCGCTCTGGCTCCTGGTTCTGCCAGTGACGGATGTATAGGGATCCAGCTCCTTCAGGATTCTGGGATGCTTTCAATGGGGAAGGGGTACTTGGATCTACAATAAATAATAGAATTTTCTGTGTTTCTGCTCCCAAAGATGAGTCTGCCAAGTACTGAGCTAGTAAATGAACACACTGAGTTTCTCCCTGAAAATTTAAATCGTTCTTCTGCTTGCTTTTGTTATCATCAAAAAGTCCTAACTCAGGGCCAGGTGCAGTGGCTCGCACCTGTAATCCCAGAACTTTGGGAGGCCAAGGCAGGCAGATCACCTGAGGTCAGGAGTTCAAGACCAGCCTGGCCAACATGGTGAAACCCCGTCTCTACCAAAAATATGAAAATTAGCTGGGTGTGGTGGCACGTACCTGTAATCCCAGCTACTAGGGAGGCTGAGGCAGGAGAATCACTTGAACCCAGGAGGTGGAGGTTGCAGTGAGCTGAGATCGCGCTACTGCACTCCAGCCTGGGTGACGAGTGAAACTCCATCCCCCCAAAAAAAAGTCCTAACTCTGTACCAAATGTGGGTTTTCTAATTTGCCATCCCATAGAAGGAAGGTGTGTATATACAGTAAATACAAAAGGAAAATAAATGTCTTCCTTTCAGTGAAAGAGCTCCTAGATCCACTCCTTTTTATTCACTGTGCTGCTTAGAGTGAGGTTAGAAAAGGAAAGCTCGCTGGGCTAAGAGTCAGGAGACCCAGCTCTAGCCCTGCTTGTGCCAGCCACTATCTGGGTGACTTTCGGAAAGTCGTTTGCCTCTCCAGAGTTCATTCTTCTCAATTATAAATGAAAATGTTACAACTGAAAATTTATATATTGTAAGCTGTAGTATGTTTCTAATATTGCATTAGTTTCTCCATTTCATAACTTTCATGGTTTTTCCAGTGGCCGCATTTGGGCAGAAAGCACTGACTCAGGAACACAAGTTTCCAAGTAGAGGGGTGCAGGATAAACCTCCATGCCTGTCTGTGGTGAGCGCAGACTGTGAGGGACAAACACGGCGTCGGTATGAGCTGGAGGTGGTGGGCTAGGAGGATTAACCAGGGTAAGGCGGCTTGGCACTGTGCCTGACAATGCACAGAATAAGTGCTCAGCAAATGGTGGCTGCTGTTATTAGCACTGTTATTACTATTGTTAACAAAGAACGCTTAGCCTTGAGTGCTGGAAGGCACCTCAGAAATGGTCACAGGGGTTCCTTGCTAGGATTCCAAGGACCCCAGTTTCAGCAGCTTCACGAACACCCAGAATTGCACACAGATGCCATGTGTGTGCACATGCTACATTTCTTACACCTTTCAGCAGAGAGGGTCCCTAGTTTCCTTGGCTTCCTCAGAGAAAATGCAACAAATGAGCATGGCATCTGGTCCAGAGGGCAGCCTACCTTAGGGCCAGGTGTGCTGACAGAGTTACCTAGAGCTGAATTTCATTTCCCTCCCTCCTCAGAACTGTCTTCTTGACCACCTTCTCTCTCCTACAAAGATATGCTAAGTTTTTTTTTTGTTTGTTTTTTTGTTTTTTTTTTTTTTTGAGATGGAGTTTCGCTGTTGTTACCCAGACTGGAGTGCAATGGCATGATCTCAGCTCACCGCAACCTCCGCCTCCTGGGTTCAAGCAATTCTCCTGCCTCAGCCTCCTGAGTAGCTGGGATTACAGGCGTGCACCACCATGCCCAGCTAATTTTTGTATTTTTAGTAGAGACGGGGTTTCACCTTGTTGACCAGGATGATCTTGATATCTTGACCTCATGATCCAACCACCTCAGCCTCCCAAAGTGCTGGGATTATAGGCATGAGCCACCGCACCCGGCCTTCTAAGTGTTCTTTAGAGACAGTACCAACACTTGACAAATTCAGCTCAGCATGAATGTCATTGAGCCCATGCCCCATACCAAGTCCCAGGCTAGCGAGCATAAGGAATACAAAAACAAGTGGATGTAGTTGCTACCTCTTGGGACTCACATGCTAGTGGAGAAGTGAAACCGACCTAGCTCGGATACAGAGCGGCCCAGGGCAGTGTCCTTAGTCTAGGATTACAGTGCAGGCTCATGGAAGGAGGTGGAATCCGTGCTGGCCCCACGTCAGAAACTCACAAGTAGGGAGAAACACATGGGGAGGCCAACAGTCCAGGCAGAGGCAGGAGCATCATGTCAGCAGATGAGTGGGAAATCTGGTGGGACTGGAGTCTGGTGTGGAGGGAGACGGGAGACAATGAAAGGAAGATCAGAGAGAAAGGGTAGAGCAGAGCTGTGGCTAGCTCTGAAGACGGAACCTGAGAGGTATGAGTTTATCAGGTAAAGGAGGAGGACCCTTCACAGATGATGTTGAGAGTCGTGGGATCCTGTTGGGAAGTGTGGCTGAGCTTTGCTATGTTGTCATCCACCTCTGTTTTCTGACTTGGTGTTAGCCACATTTTTTTAATGGTAAAATTCAAAAACATAAAATTGACCATTTTAACCATTTTTACAGTGGCATAACTTACATTCACATTGTTATGCAACCATCACCACCATCCATCTACATAACTGTTTTAATCTTGCAAACTAAAACTCTGTATCCATTAAACACCAACTCTCCAGTTCCCCTCCCAGCCTCTGACAACCACCATTCTACTTGCTGTTTCTGTGACTCTGACTATTCTAGGTACCTCAGATGGTGGAATCAGGCATTGGTAGCATGTGATGTGATTCCCTTCCTTTTCAAGGCTGACTATTCTATTGTTTGGCTAGACCACAGTTGGGTTATCCACTTACCTGCTTATGGATGCTTGGCTTACTCTCACCTATTGGCTATTGTGAATAATGCTGCTATGAACACATTGACAGAAATATTTCTTCAAGAACCTGTTCTAGTTCTTTTGGGTATATACCCAGAAATGGAATTGCTAGATCATATGGTAATTCTATCTTTAATTTTTTTTGAAGAACCACAATACTCTTTTTATTCTTCTTCAGATGGTGTCTTGCTCTGTCTCCCAGGCTGGAGTGCGGTGGCACGATCTCAGCTCATTGCAACCTCTGCCTCCTGGGTTCAAGTTATTCTCCTGACTCAGCCTCCCAAGTAGCTGGGATTACAGGCTCCCGCCACCATGCCCGGCTAATTTTTATATTTTTTTAGAGACAGGGTTTCACCATGTTGTCCAGGCTGGTCTCAAACTCCTAACCTCAAGTGATCCACCTGTCTTGGCCTCCCAAAGTTCTGGGATTACAGGCGTGAGCCACCGCACCTGGCCAATGATACTCTTTATAGCAGGGCCTGCACCATTTCACATCCCCACCAGCAGTGTGCGAGGGCTCCATTTTTCCACGTCTTTGTCTATATGTGTTAATTCTTTTTTGTTGTTGTTGTAGACATCCTAATGGGTACGAGGTGGTTTAGCCACATTTTAAAGAAGAAAAGTTTAAAGGATGGCATAGGATAATTAACCCAGTGTTTGGAGTAAAGCCATGCTTTTTTGCAGTGCTTTATTTTTTCTCTTGCTTTTGATCTAGAAGTACTTACCTGTGTGTTTCTCTCTATTCAGATGAATCTATAAAATGTACCATATTCAACAGTAGTGGCATTCAGATTGGAGCCTACAATTATATGGAGGTTGGTGGGATGAGTTCATCACTATCAGACAACACAAATGTGAACTTTAAAGAAGAGCCGGCTTCTAAGTACCAAGATATCTTTGGTAAGATACCCTTGAAGGACCCAATGTCTAGCAACCTTGAACTTTCTTACTTGTGAGAAGGATATAGTGGAAGCTTAAAATTTCTCTGATAATTCTTCCTGAAAGTTTTTTCATGTTACTTCTGCAAAATATTCTTGTGATTTCCGTATAATTTCTTTGTGATTTATTTATTTTTAATATGGAGATAATAGTATTTAATTCATGGCTTTGTTGTGAAAATTAAATGAGTTGATATGTATAAAAAGCTTAGAATGCTCCCTGACACATAGTAAGTTCTATAAAAAGTATTAAAGTTTCATCATTATCATCAGTATTACTGCTCAGACCTGGAAGAAATAGCTGTGTCAGGCCCTCATCAAAGGAGATCCTGTAAAAGAGAGGAGACTGTGCCCTCCGCAGCACTTCTGCAATAAATTCAAGAGAGCTGTCTCTTACAGGGTTCTACTGTGCAGGCCCATAATGCTAATGTCGAAAAAACAGTCAGGAAAAAGCAGTCATGAAGCCAAAACAACTTGATTAAGAACGCAGCTTTCTAATTAACCACAGGATTGGCCTTTTTTTTTTCTGTAAAGGAACCAATAGTAAATGTTAGGCATTGCTGGCTTTGAGGTCTCTCTTGGAACTACTCAACTCTGTTACTGTAGTACAAAAGCAACCATAGACAATATGTACATGAATGAACATTGCTGTGTTCCAATAAAACTTTATTTACAAATGCTGGCAATTGGCCCACAGGCTGTAGTTGGCCAACCACTGGTCTAACCCATTTGAAGAACAGCTTTTAAAATACGTAGAACAGAGGTTCTTAACTTTTGATTAGTCAAGGGCACCCTTGACATTGTAATGAAACCTAGGATCTGTCCCATAAAGAAATACTGACAAAATTTGGCAAATATTTTGGGAAGTTTCTGGACTGCTGACAATCTAGTAGTGGCAACACAGGCCACATTATGGAGGGCTGAGGAAAGAAGGGAGGTTGAAAGGAAGAATGAGATGTTTTCTCCCTTACATTCTGTTTAATGAGGTAGAGTGGGGATTAGGGAATATGTTTGTTGTGGTTGTTTTACATTTTTATTTGTTTCCTTTTATTATTTTTATGAAGGGCTAAGAGAAGAACTAGTAGGAGAGAGGTTATGGCTATCGGAGAAGAGGCAATGGCAGTGTTGGGGTGGGGGTTGGGGAGAAGGGTCCAAAAACAGACCTTTCATCATGTGAAAGACAAGGAAGACGTTGTAACTGAATGGGTTCACACCTGCTGGACAGTTTCCTTGATTAAGAGGAAAGTGAACTCTTGGGCGGGGGTGATGGTCAGGAGTTGAGTGGCTTTAACTCTGCCCAGATGTAAGTGGAAAATGTCCAAAAGGAACAAAAATGGTGGTTTTTCCCTTTATATCCAGGAAGGTCTAATACAAACAGGGTCACCGGCTAAGACTGAAAAGAACACCCAGCCTGTAGCCACACAGGGGTTTTGTTCACAGAGCCATCAGCTGGGGCTCAGGGATTTGTCTGCTAGGAGGAAGAAATGCCTTATTCTTTTTTGTTTTGCTTTTGAGACAGCATCCTGCTCTGTGGCCCAGGCTGGAGTACAGTGGCACAATCATGGCTCACTGCAGCCTTGAACCCCTGGGCTCAGGTGATCCTCCTGTCTCAGCCTCCTAACTGAGACTAAAGGCATGTGCTACCATGCCTGTAGTTAATTTTTGTTTCTTTTTGTAGAGACAGGGTCTTGTTATGTTGCCAAAGCTGGTCTGGAATCCTGGGTTCAAGTGATCTTCCTGCCTTGGCCTCCCAAAGTGTTGGGATTATAGGTGTGATCCACTACGCCAGGCCAGGAATGCCCTATTCTAAGTCACACAAAGACTCCATGTGGGCTAGCAGGGATGTAAAATGTTCACCAAGGCGTCAACAGCTATATGATTAAGAAGTTATCTTTTTCACTGTCTCCTGCTACTCTTCACTTCGCTTGGGTTTTTTTTTTTTTTTTTTTTTTAGCAATTCAGGAAGCTGGAATGTTTAAATGGGTTTTAGCTTGATACCTTCTTCTGTTTCCCATTTGGCAGATAATACCACTAGTCTGACTGATAAACACCTGGACCCAATCAGGGAAAATCTGGGAAAGCAGTGGAAAAACTGTGCCCGTAAACTGGGCCTCACACAATCTCAGATTGATGAAATTGACCATGACTATGAGCGAGATGGACTAAAAGAAAAGGTTTACCAGATGCTTCAAAAGTGGCTGATGAGGGAAGGCATTAAAGGGGCCACAGTGGGGAAGCTGGCCCAGGCACTCCACCAGTGTTCCAGGATCGACCTTCTGAACCACTTGGTCTACATCAGCCAGAACTAACCCTGGACGGACTATGGCAGGTCAAGCGACTCCTCACTTAGTGAATTGCTGGAGACCCCAAGAATGTGGGGCGTGACCAACTCAGTATCCCTCTGGAGGCTATATGAGTAAACAGCAAACTGTCCTCATGAAACCAGGATGTCAGCTGCCAGACGGAAAGTTGAGGGCAGTTGCGCCCCAGGTCCTGTGCTCCTTGAGGCTATCTGTGCTCCTTGAGGTTATCTACCTAAATATCTGTAATCTGTTGGACAAAGGAAGCAGTACTTGTATTAATTCAAGTTGACCTCCTCCTCCCTATTCACTTTGCTTAAATACGAAGGGCTGTAAAAGCTCAGGGCTTTTGTTCACTAGAAGCAAAGAGTCCCCTGACCCCTTCTTTCAAATAGAACCTTTTGTCTTTGTCTTCAGTTCCTAAGTTGGCTGCCTCAGAGCATTCAGAATTGTCCTCACTGATTGGGGTTCTGTGTCCACAGAAATATTGTTTCCTATATTTCATAGCTGGAGAATGGGGAAAGAAATCTGGAGCAAAAGGGTCTCACTCTGTTACCCAGACTGGTCCCAAACTTCTCGACTCAAGTGATCCTCCCACCTCGGCCTCCCAAAGTGCCATGAGCCATTGTGCCCAGCCAACAATCCGCTGTGAGGAAAGTGAGGCAGGAAGACCTCTTAATGGCATAGCACCAATCAAAACATGACTCCTAACTGGGTTTGGAAATGAAGGGAAGAGATGTCTGAGGAAGATCCTTTTATTTCAGCTTATGCCGTTTTCTAGAGTTTTGTTGAGACAAGAAGAAAAACTCAAGAGAACATAAAATCAGCTTTTAAAATTCTGTGCTGTGGTCTTCACAAAGGTTCCTATTATAACCAAAGTACAGTAGAACTCTAAGCCCTGCTCAAAGAGATTTGTTTGTATCACAACTGCAGCTCATTGCCAAATTACAGGGTCTGTATTACAATTTGATACAGTATCAAATACTGTATCAGTCACTATAGGCTCTAAGAATCACATGCAGTCTTCATTAAATTATCGATTATTTTTTAAATTAATTGAATTTATAGTCAGTTAATTTTTAAATTAACTGAACAGATTTAAAGAGGTACTAAGGAGGGGGAAAAATCGTGGGGAGGGAAAGACCAGAATTTCCCAGGCAGTTATTGCAAGGAATTGCTACCAACTGTGACAACAACAAAAATTCTTGATTGACTTTTAAAGCTCTTTCCTGGCATTCTGGTACTTTCACTCAGCCTGGGTGCCCTGGAGAGGGAATAGGAAATGTTGATCTCTACCCCTGGATGAGACCAGAACCTTAAGGCTGATACTGCTGAGTGGCTTCCTCGGTTTACTCCTGCGTACTGTGAAAGCATTTTCATATTTTTTCTGTGTGCCAGAGTAAAAAAGGACAGCTTCTGGGTCTGGTAATGGTGCCTCTGGCACCCAGCCTTTCAAAGCTCACCTGAAACCCGGGGGTGGATGAAAGAACGAGAAGACTGAAGCTGGGTGGGCTGCTCAGTGTCTCCGCTGGCATTTTGCTAAACAGAGAGGGAAGGCTGTGTGCTTAGCTCTCCCCAGAGGGAGGGCGAGAAGGGTGTGGTGATGGTCAGTCTGGCTGTCAGAACCGATTCTGGTGTCTTGGGCTGTTAACAGTGTTGTGGATTCTGATTCTGAATCCCCTTAACTCCAGCAGACACATCCATACCCCTGAAATGGAGCTGCGCAACAGGCTGTCTCAGCCTTGGCACTGTTGATGTCTCTGGCTGGGTAATTCTCTGTTGTGGGGACTGTCCTGTGTCTTGTAGGATGTTTGGCAGCATCCCTTCCCCTACCTACTAGATGCCAGGGGCACTGATCTCCCCCTCCTCCTTCCCCCAGTTGTGACAAAAATGTAAACATCAAATGGTCCTTGGAAAGGAGAAGATTGCCCTGGTTGAGAAGAGCATGCTGTAAAGTAATGAGCCTCGGCTCTCCTGTCCGCACCCTTCCAGCTACTACTTGGCTGCCATGCAGCCTTGGATCCTGCAGCCCAAAAGGGAGAAGGGAGGGGAGGGGCCGGGCTTTGCTGGAGGGGCCTGGGTGATTTCTGTGTGCTCCTTGTACCATCTTCCTAATGGTGTTATCAAATCTCTTAATTTCCAAAGAGGTTGAATAATCAATGTTAAAAGGCAAAAGGGCAAGACATTTTTTAACACACTGTTTAAAATAAAATTTTATGCCTCAACTATAGGCTATTGATGTGATATGTGTGTCGCTGGGACAGATGGGGATTCTCCATGGTGTCTCTGCTGCTGAGCCTGCGTTTCCATATTCCCCTTGTACCCTCCTGCTGCCAGCAGGAGACGGGATGCTGATGGTGAGAACACCTTCCTGCTGGTGCATTCCAACCCTCAGGATGAGAGGCCTGCAGCACTGCTGTCCTTGCACCTGGCTCTGAGGCCTTCTCTTCACCCCCACTCTCTCAGCACCATGCTGAGAAGAATAAAGTTTGCCTGTGAGGAGTAATGTACGAGGCCCAAGCTTCAAAAGAACACTGCTGTTAATGGGTAGAGCCAGGCTAGGTGTGGTGGCTCACGCCTGTAATCCCAGCACTTTGGGAGGTCGAGGTGGCAGACCTGAGGTCAGGAGTTCGAGACCAGCCTGGCCAACATAGTGAAACCCCATCTCTACTAAAAATACAAAAAATTTAGCCAGGTGTGATGGGGCATGCCTGTAATCCCAGCTATTGGGAGGCTGAGGCAGGAGAATCACTTGAACCTGGGAGGTGGAGGTTGCAGTAAGCCAAGATCCCACCATTGCACTCCAGCATGGACAACAAGGGTGAAACTCCATCTCAAAAAAAAAAAAAAAATGAGCAGAGCCAAGTGAGCATGACAACACAGACCAGCAAAGGAAAACTGAGACTGTCCACACTTGGTGTGGAAAAGATAGTCACACCCTAGGTGACTATTACTGGTTAATTGAGACCTATATCCAGCTCCCACAATCCTGCTTGCCAGATCTTCCACTTGTTGCTACAGTCATAATGTTTGCTGTGGGTCTGTCATATGAAGTTAGGGCTTCAGGAATAAGAATGGAAGTTCTTCCTCACAAAATGTGTTTAGACAGTGTTTTGATGTACATTTTAATGTGTGGTACTTAGAAAAAGGGTTTTCTAATTATAATAATGGCATAAATAAAAACAGGAGTATAAACTTTCCAGATTTTAGAAGCAGCTGACTTCAGAGAAATCACTGAAGGTTAATGCTACCAAAGTGAATTTTATAATATGTAATAATCCAAATATACGGCCAGGTGTGGTGGCTCATGCCTGTAATCCCAGCACTTTGGAAGGCCAAGGTGGGAGGATCGCTTGAGGCCATGAGTTCGAGACCAGTGTAGACAACATAGCAAGACCCTGTCTCAAAAAAAAAAAAAATTAGCCAGGCGTGGTGGTGTGTGCCTGTAGTCCTAACTTCGGGTGGGAGGATCACTTGAGCCCAGGAGTTTGAGGCTGTGGTGAACTGCGATCACACCCATGGGTGACAAGAGTGAGGCCCTGTCTCAATAATCATATCATCACCATCATCATCCAAGTATAGGGTCCTGAAATTGAGAGCTCAAAACTCCCCCCTGCCATTTTTCAACTGTGTTACCTAGGGCTTGCTTCCTAACCTTTCACCGTCGTCATCCAAGTATAGAGTCCTGAAACTGAGCAGCTCAAAATTACTTTTCAGCTGTATTACCTAAGGCTTGCTTCCTAATCTTTCTTAGCCTCAGTTGCCTCATCTATAAATGGGGAGTGCAATAGCACAGAAGGCTTATGTGAAGATTAAAGAAATATGATGCGTCATAAGGTGCCTGGCACAAAAATGGTAGTTTTTAAACCACACCATCTTGCTATATAGAAAGGACTGGTTCTCAGGTGTGTTACTTAAAAATAGTGACACCTATAACCTAAAAACTCAGTGCTACCATTTCTGCTCAGCACTAGAGTAACTGGTGTTGAAATTGTCCAGACAGCTATCTTTATCATTTCTGAGATGAATTCCCAATCAACATAGCAGAAAAAAGGAAATACCTCACCAAAGATTTCTGAAAGTCAAATGATATAAAACTTAAACATTATATATGTCTGTTTCCTTTTATGCCAGAATTAATGTGACAGATTTATGCTGAAAATGGAATATAAAAACTTTTACATAGTCTATATTTAGGCCAAAACTGCCTTTGCTACTTAAGAAACTCCAATGGGCCAGTGAGGACGCCGCAGGTGGCAGAAATGTCCAGGGGTGTAACACCTACAAGCACGGTACTCACAGGACTGTTACACGAAAAGGGTCTCTTGGAGGAAAAGTAATGCAATGTGCAAAGAAGCTGTTGCCTCCAATTATTCAAGCCAAGCCTACAACAGTAGCCACAAATCTGTCGGTTATTTCCAGTTAAGGCAGAACATTAATCCCAGCACTTTGGGAGGTGGGATTTATTTGCTTAAATAACTTAAAACAATAGTTATTTTTTTCTCCACTGAGTTTTCAATTAGATAATGTCAATAACCTTTATAAAGCTGGAATTACATAGTCGAAGAATAAACAATTGTGGTAAAACATACATAAAACTTACCGCTTAAGCCAGTTTTAGGTGTATAGTTCAGTGGCATTAAGTACACTCACGATGTTATGTAGCCATCGTCAACATCCAGCTCCAGGTCTTTTTCATCTCCCCAGACTGAAACTCTGTCCCCATGAAACACCAGCTTCCCATTCCCCCTTCCACCAGCCCCCAACAAAAGCCATTCTATTTTTTGTCTCTGTAAGTTTGACTCCTCTAGGTACCTTATTATATAAGTGGAATCACACAGTATTTGTCCTTTTGTGACTGGCTAACCTCCCTCAGCATAGTGTCCTCCTCCAGGTTCATCCATGTAGTAGCATGTGACAAATTTCGTTCCTTGTTCAGGCTAAAAAATGTTCCATTGTGCCGGGCGCGGTGGCTCAAGCCTGTAATCCCAGCACTTTGGGAGGCCGAGGCGGGTGGATCACGAGGTCAAGAGATCCAGACCATCCTGGTCAACATGGTGAAACCCCGTCTCTACTAAAACTACAAAAAATTAGCTGGGCATGGTGGCACGTGCCTGTAATCCCAGCTACTCAGGAGGCTGAGGCAGGAGAATTGCCTGAACCCAGGAGGCGGAGGTTGCTGTGAGCCGAGATCGCGCCATTGCACTCCAGCCTGGGTAACAAGAGGGAAACTCCGTCTCAAAAAAAAAAAAAAAAAAATGTTCCATTGTATGCACAGACATTTTGCTTATCCCAGTATATGTTTTTGGACACTTAGATTGCTTCCACCCTTTTGGCTAGTGTCAATAGTGCTGCTGTCAACATGAGTATAAAAGCATTTCTTCTTGCTGGAAGTAGTGGCTCTTGCCTATAATCCTAGCATTCTGGGAGGCCAAGGAGGGCAGATCACCTGAGGTTGGGAGTTCAAGACCAGCCTGACCCACATGGAGAAACCCCTTCTCTACGAAAAATACAAAATTAGCCGGGCATGGTGGCGTATGCCTGTAATCCCAGCTACTCGGGAGGCTGAGGGAGGAGAATTGCTTGAACCTGGGAGGCAGAGGTTGTGGTGAGATGAGATCACGCCACTGTACTTCAGCCTGGGCAATAAGAGCAAAACTCCGTCTCAAGAAAAAAAATTTCTTCTTGTACACCCTGTCTTAAATTCTTTTGGGATATATACCCAGGAATGGAAGAGCTGGATTTTTTGCTTTTGTTCTTTTTGTTTTTTTTAACCAACATGAACCAGACAGGAAACAGCTGGATTTTTTTGAGGAACCGCAGTACTGTTCATCACAGTGGCTGCATCATTTTCCATTCCCAACAGCACTATGCAAGGGCTTCGATTTCTCTACATCTTCACCAACACTAATTTCTGGGGGTTTTGCTAGTAGCCATCCTAATGGGTGTGAAGTCGTATAAAGAAAACAGATCTCTGCTTTCTTAACTTAGTAAGAAAAAAAAATAAAATAAATTTTAAAAAGAAAAGAAAATAGATCCCATCATCTCTGAAAAGCAAATGCACTTCCACCGTTAGCAGCCGGCCTATAGCCGGAGCCCCCGCGCCCTGCGGAACCCCGCCTGGACGCCCACCCAGCGAGGGCGCTATGGCTGGCGCCTCGCCTCCTGGAAAGGCCATGGTCGATGCGGCGACGGGCGGAGGCGGGGTAGCGCCGACTGTGACACCCAACCCGGGACCCAGAGCCAGCATCGAGAAGGGAGTCTGCGCAAGTGCCAGCCGTTCCAAGACTGCCGAGTTTCGGTCACCCAGGGGCAAGCATCGGCGGGGCGGGGCTTCGGGACGGGGCGGGCCGAGGGCAGAGCAGGATGGCGCGACAGGGTGGGCGGGTTGGCGGAAGCCGGGGGGCGTGGCGTCGGGGCGGGGAGGATGCAGGGAAGGGCAGGTCATCGAGGAGGGGGCGTGGCTCCTGGGAGGAGCGGGCCGGCTTCTTTTCAGTGCATGCGCACTCCCGGCAGCGATGCCATCTTTGACTATGGCGTCTGTGCTGGGCCGCCCAGGCGTGCTGCGGTTGCAGCTGCGGCTGCGGATGCTGCTCTCGGCGCTGAAGCCCGGTATCCTTGTCTCACAGGCCGGACCCACGGCCGCGTTCGGGTAATGGCGGCCACCACACCCTGGGTATCCTCAGCATCAGCGCGCTCGAAGGGCGTCGGGAGGGGTGCGCGCCGGCCGTAGGTGTTCCAGGTGCGCGGGCAGGGGGCGTAGGCGCGGCCTGGCATCCCTGTCTCCCTTTGTGCAGCGAGATCCCGATCCTGGGGGTCAGCAGCGCTTGGTGCGCGAACGCCTCGGTCGTGCATGCGCCTCGGTCAGCCTCAGTTCAAGGAGCCGTGGAGGGTTTGGGCCGTGGAGTCCAAACCCTTCAGTGTGCAGACCAGAGAGACCCAGGGAGATACATTTGCATAGCAGACTCCCCCGTGACGGAGCACAGATTAGAATCCCAGGGCCCTTATTAGTCCATTGCTCCATCCATACTCCACACTGTAAGGCATAAGGACAATAATCTCTTCTTCCTCTTATGTCAGAAATTAACGTGAGAATGTCTGTGCCCACTAGCTCTCCAGTACCGCCGAGGCTTTAATCACGGGTACAGAGAGCCTTAAGTCTTCTCTTTGCTTGCTGATCTCGAACCTTAATGTGCAAAAGAATCACTTTGGGAACTGGAAATTCAGAATCC